TTCCTTCAGTTCTATGTGTTCTTCTCATTGGGCACCACGGAAAGTTTCTTCCTGTCAGCCATGGCCTTGGATCGATACTTGGCCATCTGCCACCCTCTGCGGTACCCGCAAATCATGTCCAAAGATTTCTGCTCTGCTCTCGTGGCCGCTTGTTGGCTCCTCGGCTTCCTGTGGTACATTTTCCCAATGATTTTGATCTCCAGGTTGTCCTTCTGTGGCCCCAACATCATTGACCACTTTCTGTGTGACCCTGGGCCAATTTTGTCTCTGGCCTGCCCTCCACTAGGAATTGCCCCTAGTGTCTGCCAGGTCTTTATGAACGCTTCTGGTTTGGTCAATGTTGCTTTTGTTGTGCTATCCTATAGTGTTGTGATTCTCACCCTGACGAAAAGCTCTTACCGAGGTGGTCGTAGGAAAGCCTTCTCCACCATATCTTTCCACCTGGTGGTGGTGACACTTTATTATGGGTCTATTACAGCCATATACTTAGTTCCAAGTGGAGAAAATCAGTCAGAGGTCACCAAGGCAGTTACACTTTTCTACACTGCAGTGACACCCTTTCTCAACCCCCTGATCTACACTCTGAGGAACGATCAGGTGAAGGAAGCTGTAAGTCAGTTGTGGAAAAGGTTTCAGACAAGAAAACTGACAGAATAAAAATAGACAGGAAAGAAGGAAACAAAACTGAATCAAACGAGAACGTGAAAACACCCTTGAGAAGCAATGAAACCAAGACTCACAATGGATGAGAGAGGAAATTCTTTTCCCACCGTCTTCTATTGCTCTTCTGTGTTTCTGTGACCTGAGAATTTTTTAAGTCATGTGGTTATACTGCATTTGGTTTTGACTGACTTTTACTGCTGTTAACTGCCTTGAGCAATTTGATCTTAAAATGTTTTAAGTGGGTAAAAATAAATTTGGTAGGATTTATAGAAGAATTTATAGAAGGAGATCAGATGTTATTCTGGGAGATCTCTGGGCACGATCTGGAGGCTTTCAATAACCAAGCGTGATACATCCAGCCACTGGGGCAGGGCTCATCTCCACCAGCCACTGGGGCAGGGCTCATCTCCACCAGGGTATTCCACATTCCACCAGTCTCACAAATGATGCTCAGATATGACGTGGGATACCTGAGATTCTGGTTTAATGGCATAAAATGCTTAACAACAAAGTCCTGGGTTTATAGCAACACTACACCCAGGAGACCAAGACCAATTTCCCACAAGCTGCTGATCAGCCGTCGCTCTTCCCTTTCCCCTGATCGTATGTCTCAATTTCTCACTATTTGATGTGCAGCTGCATTTTGCCCCGCAGCTTCACCTGATTTTCCCCACGTCTACTCGATCCTGGTTTTTGAGGATCGAGTAAATGCGGGGGGAATCGAGTGAAGCTGATGAGCAAAATGCGGCCGTGCGGCAAATAGTGGGAAATTGACACATACGACTGGGTGAAAGGGAAGAGGGCGGAGCAGCAGCTTGAGGGAAATCGGTCTAGCTTGCCAGTACCACACCCACCTGCCTCAGTCGAGGCTCTCGGCATCAGCTCCCAGGCACTGAGGCCCTACCCAAGGTCTTATGGCCACCACTTCCTCTGACCACTGCATTAGGGGGACCAGGTCTCACCCTCTCACCCACCACCGCCCATCTCCCAGTGCTCCCTGGTACAGCCATGAGAGAAATTAGGGGGAAAGTAACGTTGCGGCACTTCTGGTAACGTAACCAGGAGTGACCTCAAGCACCTCCACAATGGTCTCCTTTTTTGGCTGTCAAGTCACAGCCGGTTTATGGCAACCCTATGAGGTTTTCAACATGAGAGACATTCAGAGGTGGTTTGGTATTTTCTGTGTCTGCATAACAACCCTAAGACTTCCTTGGAGGTCTCCCGTCCATACGGCTGATCTGGTTTATGGCAACCCTATGAGGTTTTCAACGTGAGAGACATTCAGAGGTGATTTGCTATTTTCTGTGTCTGCATAACAACCCTAAAGACTTTCTTGGAGGTCTCCCATCCATACGGCTGATCTCGCTTCGCTTCTGAGATCTGACAAGATTGGGCTAGGCTGGGGACTGGAGATCTACTGGGACAACAAGTGGTCTCCAGGTGGCAGAAATCAGAAATCTCCAGTTCCCCTGGAGAAAATGGCCGCTTTGGAAGGTGGCATCATAGCCCATTGACGTCCCTCCCATTCCCAAACCCCACCCTCCTCAAGCTCCACTCCCAAACTCTCCAGTTGTTTTCCAACCTGGTGTCAGAACCCAGAGCTAACGACGAAGTACACACATTCAGGAACGGTTATACTTTTATTGCGAAGCTATAGATGCAGTAACACAGGCACTGTTAGGAATGGCCGCAGCCACTAGAGCATAATAGGATATAGGGTATTCGTATGCACCCCCCTCCAAGACATTGGCCAATTAGGGACCCTCCCGCACGTGGGATAAGTCAGGCAACCGTTAAGTGGCTAAAGCTGGGAACCAGGAGTCTCTCACGGTACATAGGAGCTCTCCAGACAACACAACGTCCTCCTGCACATCTGTAAAGATAAGCGTTTACAGCAAAGGCAGAACAGCAGGGATAGGAATGCAATAGCAATGAACTAGACACAGAATGAACTCCCCAACCCCCATGGCAGTATAGCTTACACCTGGATTTCACAACCCTATGGTTGGAGGAGATCTCCTGGGATTACAACTGATCTCTAGGCAACAGAGATCAGTTCACCTTGAGAAAATGGCCGCTTTGGCATTTTACCCCATTGGTGGCTTTGGAAGATGAAAATGGCTGCTTTGGAAGGTGGGCTCTATGGCATTATAACTTGCTGAGGTCTCTCCCCTCCCTAAACCTCAGCCTCCTCAGGCTCCAGATTCAAAATCTCCAGTATTCTCCCAACCCGGAGCTAGCAATCCTATCACCCCCTCACTTCTTCCTACTGTGGCTTTTTATCCACCTCCATTCTGCAATGCCCACTTCCTGGGCCACTTGGCCTATTCTTGAGCAGGGTTTTAATTTGAAAGAAGCCTCTTGAGGAAGCTTACTCTTGAGGAAGCTTACTCTTGAGGGGGGCCCTCATGTCCCAACCTTGCCTTTCCCTCTTCTAACTTACTGCCTCCCTCAGGGCTATTCCCACAAAGGTTCCAAGTCCCCCTGATCTAGGGCGATGGTCTTCTGGGGTGAGACATACTACTGCAGTGGATAATATAATGTTCCATGTTCAACTTGGGAAAACAGCATTTACCTGTGGAAGCGAACCATATCATCGCCAAGACAGTCAATTGGCCTTGGTGGGTAATTATTTTATTGTTCAGGGACACCTCCGCCACCAGGTATTTAACAATGAGATTCATACTCTGCTTGGTAAAAAGCCTCACTCTTCCCGTCCATTCAAGACCAGCTTGCAGCCCACAATCGATGCCACAACCGGGCACCAGCATCACACACACATGCCAAACAGCATCTCACACACACCAAACCCTGACGCAGTGCTTGCGGAGAGCCCTCTGATGGATGGAGTGGCATTTTCACGCTACTGAGGTACTGAATGAGAATTTGGTCTCAAAGCAAAGGAGGCTAAGGTGGGGTTTTTTCATGAATTAGCACGGAATGTGCTAATTCATGTGTGACAGAATATCGGCTGGTTCGGGGAAATGTTGACAAATCATTATCAAATTCTGACTAGAGATGAGTCAAGAGAATAGCACCAGAAGACTCTGCAGTTCTCAGCTGTAGTTCTGGGGTTAATGTTGCTAACGCTGAAAAGATTTTTTGGATGAGCTGCTTTCCTCCACTTACACACAAAACCTTTACTGGCATGAAAGCACAAAACATCATAGAAATACGAGGAAATACTATGATGCATCAGTCACTTACACTTAGCTATTCAAGCCTCATCTTCTGATTGCATAATATAAAAATTTTGCAACAGCCTCCATTATTTCGCAATTAGAATTAAACAGAAGAAAGTGAACACTTGAGTCATCAGAGTACCAGCTCTTACCCTCTGGAAATGGAGTAATAAAATGAGATCGGATATCCCTATAGAAGGGGTAATGAAGTATGGTGTGTGTAACTTTCCTCCACTTGAATCCTGTAAGTTAAGTTCTTCAGGGTGCAACATAAAGCTAAAGCTGAGTCTAGGAAAGAAAGAAGGTTTAACTATAAGGGTTTAACCACTGGTGACACAGTGGTGAGGCAGAAATGACAAGGAAGCCCCTTTGTTCTCTGCTGATGGTGGGAAGCGCCGTCGAGTCGCAGCCAATTTATGGCAACCCCTTCTGGGGTTTTCAGCGCAAGAAGCATTCAGAGGTGGCTTGCCATTGCCTTCTTCTGCATAGTGAACCTGGAGTCCCTTGTGGTCTCTCATCCAAGTATTAACCAGTGTTAGAGAATGAACTTGATATTTTGCTTTATGGACTGATATTTATTGCTACACACACAATGGACCGTGCACACACACACATAGGCTCAAAGAACTGTGCATTTCAAGTCACCTGTTATGATGTAACACATAGAAGGTGCCTGCACAAGCCTTACATGTGAATGAGGTTTCAGTTACACAGTTAACAGCCACACATCTCCATTATTGTCAGCAAAACAACAACTTGAGCAGAGACAGCCCCCATTGTAGATCTAGTTGGGATCACGTACAACACATCCATGCTTTGTTCTACATGGGTATTTCCTGTCAAATGGACATTTGGTTCACAAAGAGGATGGCCGGCTTGATCAGCACTTCAATGAAACATCCTGACGCCAAGGTTTCACACCTGCCCAGATATCTTTCTTGAGTAAGGTATTAGATTTCAATATTGACCACTCCTTATAGGCAACCTCCCACTCCTATAGGTAACCAATAGGATTAGTTTTGGGACGGACTAACAGGGAGGTGGGCCAGGAGGTTGGCACGGCCACAACCCACCTCCTGGATCCCTCGATAAAAGAAGAGAACCAGTCACATGCTCGCTCTCTCTCTCTCTCTCTCTCTCTCTCTCTCTCTCTCTCTCTCTCTCTCTCCTTAATCAACTAGCTAGCATCCCCCGCAACAACCCCTGTCTGCTTTATACTCCCCTTTTGTCCAGCTTGCTATCCCCAAACCCTTGCCTCTACTTTGATCTCTTGATCTGCAATCAAGAGATCCCCACACCGTCCTGCTAAGTTCTGGTAGTGTGGATCCCTTTAGTTTTCCATTTCTTCCCCTCTATTCTTCATTGGAACAACTAAAGCTGCGAAGACAGATAAGTATCACCCATCATTACCCCCACCTGCTAATGCAAACATGCTTATTTTAATACTGTATTTCTAAGAAGCTTGACTGAATGTGTGCGTGCATCAATATTGTTTGTATGTGATATATTTTCTTAAGTAAAAGACAGTTATTTCAACAACACCAGCCTCGACTCCTTCTCTGCTAACCCTTGGTGGGAACAGGACCTTGGTAAACAGTGGCAAGAACCCATCTAAATTGCCAACTGCTGTAGATAAAGCACTTCGGCTAACACCAGGGCTGGCCGTGCTTAGCTTCACAGATCTGGTGAGATTAGGCTATCCTAGGCCAGCCATGTCAGGGTGCTGTCCTCTGGAAATGCTGAAAATTATCCTAAAGGTAGTAGCCACTGTGTATTCAAAATAAAGACAAAAGAGTCAAGTGAGGTCAATAA